TTGGTATTTGTTACTACTGTTCAGGTGAAACACCTCAAGTTTTGTCTCTTAAATTTCACCCTGTAAATTCATTTTGAATTTTTGTTCTGATCTTCAAGTGCACATGTGGCCCCTCTTGGCTTTATGCCATCTCTACATTTATTGAGTACATTCTCCCATCACAAATGCTATTAAGTAACACACCAACTAGAATCAGACCCAGGACGGACCACAGCATGACCTTGCTCTCTCTTCAGCAGGAAAAAAACTTCACAACTACTTGGAGCAGTTACCCACCAGCAGGGGAGACCAGGTGGAATTTCACTTCAGACAGCACTCAAAAACCAGCACTCAAAGGTGAGTGAGCTGGCTTTAGATTTACTTTTAAGAAAGGACAAGGCAGAGGTTGATAAATGGAAGGTGGCTGAGAGATGCCTTGGCTTGTGAAGATGAATGTTAAATATGAAAGAAAAGTCACTTGCAATGAAAGGTGAAGAAAGCAGAAATAGCTAAAAGGAAGGCGCTGGGAAGAAGACACCTTGTTCCTATTATTGTCCCCGATGACTCTGTTGGATACATATCTTTTCCTCCCCCTTTATTCCAGTTGAACTTGAAAGAAATGAGCAGGAACTCTGCATTCTCATCTCTGTGCTATGGTTAAGTAACACAGAGCCCTGATTGCAACGACGACATGCAAAAGTAACATCATCACAAAGATATTAAAAAAAATAGCATAAGATGGTGAGGTCAAGCATTTGAAAAAGGTGAGAGAAAACACTCATGACACCATATCATCTAGGATTACAAAAACTCAGGCACACTGAGATGGGCATGTCATGTTCAAGTGTGGATCAATTGCTATAAAAAGAAGCAATTCAGATCTCAATGGCCTTGTCTGTGCCAAGTCCTAGGTCAGGGGAGTTAAGTGATCACTTTTTTCCCTTGAAACACTCATACTATAACTTCAAAACAAATAGGCAGCACTCATGTCTAGCAGCTCAGCCATTTACAAAAAGCTAGGTGGGAAACAGTCAACTTTCTCTTAATCTGAGGATCACACCAGCAATTACTGTGATAACCTAACAATTCAAAAACAAGTAAAAAAAGCCCCTAGGTACCTTCACTTTAAGGCATGGCTGTATATATCTGGAAGAAAGCACCTTTTAAATTAGGCTTAAATGGCTCTTCACAATACACCTATTCCAAGGCAGCTTTGAAGAAAGTCTTCCTGATGTGTAGAGCAACATATTTCAAGCAGAATCTTTCCATAACTACACAAACATCCATACAGCTGCTTGCTAAGTCTTCCTCCCCAGCAGGATGGCACAAAGAGCAGGAAGACCAAAAGCAAGAAGACTGCATGGGTCAACACAGAGACAGAGACTGCAAAGGCAGTGACTCACCATCACTGATGCCCAGACAGTCATGGAGCAACAGCCAGCTTGGAAGACAAAAGCCCCAGTGTTGTTGCTCACCATATCATATGACATGAGAGATCCCTATGATCAGCTGGGGTCAGCTGTCCTGCCTGTGTCCCCTCCCAACCTTCTGTTCATTCCCAGCCTACTCACTGAGGAATGCAGAGTAAGGAATGGAGAGAGCCTCGATACTGTGCGAGCACAGTCCAGTAACTGACAAAACATCTTTATGTTATCAACACTCTCTCAATTACAGCTCCAAAGAACAGCATTACATGGGCTGCTCTGAAGGAATTTAACTCCAGCCCAGCCCAGTACATCTTGGTAACAGGCATTTTAGCTTAAAAAAATCCCTTTGAATAAGGCACCAATAAATTTGGTACCACCTAAGGATATGTATCCCTAACCAGCAAATGACGTGTTGGTTAAGAAACTGAGGTTATGGCATTACTTGCATGAAAGTAATGCTTGACAGACAGCTGTGGTGGGAAAACAATCAATCAGCAAAGCAACACAGAGGATGCATATAGGCAAGCTGCCAAACAGCAGCAAAGAAGTCAAAGGAAAAGGGCAAGAAAAGGAGAGTAGTCTGCTTTAAACACACAGAACATGCATCAAAGCTTCTCTAGACACAAGGAACTAACACCAGAAAATAACAATGGGGGGAGGGAGGCAGCGAGTTTAGAGGTTTTTTCTTTCTCTTTTTTAAAGTAAGAGTAGTATCAAACTGTCAGGGAGAGTGTCTGACAGAGAGTTCTGCTGTACTGGCATTAGTTTCCATCTAAGAACACCAAGAACAGGAGCTGCTTTAAATTAGTTTTCTTTGAAATGGATTTGCTTCAAGTGATTTTGTTTCAAGGACCCTGTCTGATAAGAAGTCATGGCTGCACTTGCTCTTGAGAGGAAAGGAAGTGGCAGGTGTCAGAGGTAATCATGTGTGATCACTGCAGATAGCAGTCATGGAGCTGCTCCAAACTGAACAGACCAGCCATGACAATGACAGGTTGTGAGGTCATGCAAGGGAGACCAGGAGGGCAAAGGGCACATTAGTCTTGTGCAGCAATGAGAGCACCATTCAGGGTAGTTTTTAGGTTTGGTGGGTCTTTTTGTTTTGTTCTGTTGCTTCTATTGCTAGGACCATATTACAGCTTGCTTACCTTTGGGATTTGGGTAAATGAAAGGGAATATAAGGAATACATTAGAAGCATACTGGCTATTCCCCTGAATGAGTCAGACGATTAGTTCAGAGAAAAGGGGAAAGCAGCTAGTAAAGACTGAAAATTGCTGCTGGAATTTGCCAGCCAGGAAGGAGCCTTGGGCCTTCCATCATCAGCCAGCTTTGCAAAGAACCAGAAAATTGGTGCAGTAGATAACATATTAAAATCAACAATATATGATACTTAATCTTTTTGATTATTTATAGAATAAGTTTCACCTGCGACTTTCACCAGAGCACATTGGCCACAAGGTGCCCTGAGTCTTGAGGTTGCTGTGGAACACAGGACCAGCTAATTTCTTAATTTCAAGATTGGTAGCAGTTATACAACTCGTACAAAAAGACATTTGCTTCTATGGTATTTCAAAAACAGAAAACTCTGCAGTAAAAACAACTGCATCAAAAGGCAGCAAGTTATCAAATATAAACTCCTGTCATTAAAATTCCCACTCCTTTGAAGCTCTCATCTGTAAGAAGCTGTTTACACATTTTTCATGTTTTGTTTACTTTGTTGGAAATTTTGCTTTTGGCTGTATGGACTAATTTTAGCAAGCCTCCATTTTTACACATCTTTTGATTATTAATATGGCAATACAGGATGGGTAAGGACGTTGTCTGTAAGGCTTTAAACAGATTCAGATACATCAGCTTTGGGCCTCGAAATTATCAACTACACCCGAAATGGATTAACATTTCTTGGCTTCAATATGCTTTGATTTAGGCAAAACAGTCTGAAGAATGATTAAAACATACATGTAATTGAAAGGTCCCACAGCACTCTTGTACCTTGTTAATTAAAGAAAACTCCATGTGCCTACGTAGTCTCAAGATACTTAACACAAATCAGTCAATCACTAATTCTGTTTCTCCAGCAAGTGAAATAACAAGAAATAATGTTTCCAGCCCCCTGCCTTTGGGAAGGGGCATGCCTAGCACCTTCATACACCACTATACATACCATTCTGTCCTCCATATTACTCTTCACACTCCTCCCATGTCTCCCACCCTGCCCGTGGCACCACATGCAGCCCCTTACACCCTGCTAATTCCAAAAGGAAAGTTCCATTTTTTCCAGTTAGGAAGTATCTGGATGACAAAGCCATAAGCATTGCTGAAGTAACTTAAAGCAACTTCCACTCTACAGATTCTTTTAGCCTCAAGAGTGATTTGGTATTCTGAACACACTGGTCAGGAAATTGTATGCAGCTACTTTCCTGTCCTACACCCATTCTACATCATTGTTAAAGGAATACTATGGTTTTCAGAATTGCCCTAATGGTAAAACACAGTTTTCTGTCATGTCTGTCACTTGCGAATATGTTAGTGAGAATGAGAGGAATGTCAAATACTGGCAAAGATGGACATGCCTTTGCCTTGGCTCCCTCTTGCCTACTCCACTGCATTCAAGAGTTGAAACAGGGTATAAGCAAATTCGGGATCAACAGAAGGATCTAGTTTTACCTCCATTCCACACCAGATTTGTACGAAACAACAATTTCGATTTGTCATTTCTGGCAACACTTTTGACTTTTATGTTTAGGTATGTTTAAAAAAAAATTACCTCCTTATGAACCTAAAATATCAGCAATTCACACAAAGTTCAAAGGAAAAATATAAAGCCACAAGCAAACCCACATGCTAGGAATTCATAATATTCTCTAAATTATTCAATGCTTAACAAATGTATTCAAACTAGTTATTTCTGCAAATCAATTCAAGGCCATTGAATAAAAGCAATTCCAAGCATACCCACAAGCCCAGTTTAGTATGCTGCATCAACAGCACACAGTAGTCAGTTGTGAAAAACAACCAGGATCAAAAATAATCCATCTTAAATTCAGAGAGAGTTTAATTTCTGCTGACTTTTTTCAATATTGCCAAAAATCACTAAAATACACCATGCTAGTATAAAGTTTCTTCATTTATCACCCCATGTACCTCAAAAGCACATACAATTGACCATGAGTTTCCCCACATTTCATACACTCCTTTTAAGTCCTTAGTTCATAATTATACAATTTCCCACTCTAAAATCCCACAATAGACAAGGCTTCATTATTTCCAGACAAAGCTACACTATCATTGGCCAAGAAAATAACATTGTAAACAAAAGAAGCCTACAAAATACAAACAAAAAATGAGTGGTCATTTGGAAACTGCAGTAAACAGATCACTCCCCAAGTTGCAAGTTCAACATAATGCCAAAATCAACCGCATTGGTGTTGTAAGTAAGGAGACAAAAATTAATGGTTAACACTAGATTTGTTAGTAGAAGTAACATTTCCCCCAAAAGCTACACTTCCCTGCACAGTTACTTGTGCCAAGATCACTTATGGCCACTTTAGTACAATGTTATGTGTATGATACCTGTCTGACCTTTTCAACAAGAGTTCACGCGGTTTTAATCAAACAATGCATTTCAAGGAGGAAAAAAATTAACATATGTGCTACTACAACTTTACTCCTAAAAAGCTATCTTAAATTCATCAAAATGGCACCATATAAAAAAACCCAGCCAGTAGAATTTTTGGGAGATATTTTATTAATGTATAATTTTATTAGCGATGTACAATAGATATTTTTAATTCTCTATGTATTCTGTCTCCTTGCAGTTTGGTAAATGCTTGTTCATATATAAAACTACACAATGCTTCTTTGTAGGACCAGAAATTGTGAAAATTTAAGTGCTACAGTATATTTTGTAGTGATTAAACACGTTGTCCAGAAGAGTTACCAGCCACTTCAGTGAAGGACTCCCAAAATATTTCTGATCAAGTCTGAATGCATCTGTTCATAAATAATGATTGGTTTGCTCATGTCCATATACTGCTAAGTACAACTGTCTCAACATAAAATACCGTTTCAATACATTTCTCCACGTGGACAACTAGATAATCCAGTCATATTTACTTTTATCCAAGGCTAATACAAATTTACAAATAAAATAACTTCAAAATTTATTTAGAATAATTATTTTTCAACCAGAAGCTTTACTTTGGACAATGCAGAAGTATATTGCAAGTGACATTCTGCAGCAGAAGCTGGAGGCTTGAGAATAACAACTAAGGAGGAGTAAATATCAGCAATACACACTTTTACAAGAATTCTGACCATTCTGAATGTTAACATTAAAGACCAGACACTTCGGCTTGTGCGCCTGTCAATCAAAACCTCCACACAAAAGAAAAATTAAAGATACCCCACAGAACACAGTATTTCAGAGAACATGTTAGATACCAGTATGACATTTCTCAGATCAAATTGGCAACTGGAATTTGACATCCACCTGAGCTTGTTTTGCTAAGGTTACTATTTCAGACAGCTTCACCACCTGAAAAACAGAAAATAAAGACTTAATTCTGAAACAATCCTAATGTGACTAAGTTGAATCAGTCTTTTTAAACAAAGTAATACCAGAGAAACATCAGCAAGACCTAAAGGGGAAGGTGGGGGTCAGGTTATTACTTCTTAATCACTTTTAAATGAAAGATAGTCAAGCCTTCCAGAAAGCATCTCGCAGAGTTAAACAATGTCTGTTTCTCATTTACCACCAATTATGTTGATAAAATGCTACAGGTTTTAAATTTTACATGCCATGTTATCATCCTGGGACATGTTGGGCTACCCACGCACAAGATATTCTATATATCGAGAAACCATTGCTCGTCTGAGTTTTCACTGCAAGCATTTCTGGATCTTATTTAAGATAGCTTATGGAGCTTCATCTTCTCCTGCACAACCCTAAACCTCTCTGAACTTCCTCCTTAGAATGAAATAACTATATATAATGAAGTGGTTCATTAGAAAAAAAAATCAGAAATCTAAGTCTTCCCATGATATTAAATCCACCAGATGACTTCTAATTTTCTGCAGATCAAAAATTTTCATCTTCAACCATTGCTACACATTTGTCTCCACATCTCTTATACAAAAACTAAGCAAAGCAAAACATACACCAAAAAGAAAAAAAAATAAATCACAAAAGTGCCTGAATGTCTAATTACCTTACGAGGCAACAGGATAATCATACACACTGATATAGAGTGGTTTATGAAAGGAGGTGTTATATTGCATTTTTCAGCCACACCAAGTTAAATATTTTCTCCCTATTAATAAAGCTAAGCTGTTAGCCATTCTCCTACCAAAGGGAGCGACACCTGACCATTGACTTGGTATTGGTTTGTGGGGTTTAATAGCTTCTGACTGCATAGTTATTCCCCTGAGAAGCTACGTAATATCTAATGTGTAAAACATTTGCTTCAAGCCCTGATGATCACAACTGGCACTTCGGTTTATCCTAAGCTACCTTTAGCTGACTGAATGGAGTTTCAGCTTTTCAATACTCTGCAACAGATGCTATGCTCTGAAAAGAATATTCATAACCAGCTAACTTACCATTTTTGCAGCTTCGTCCAAGTCATCACATGCCAGGATTTTGAGGCCACTGGCTGTTATTAAAGCTTTGGCATCATCAACTCGTGTACCTTAACAAACAGATACAATGCCACTCTTACTGAACAGGAGAGTACTACTACTACTACTACTTTCGTATTTTTAGGAAGCCTGTTCAAAAAGTTAGTGAATAATCTAGAAGAAAACTCTAGTAGTTTAAAAGCAAGAAGTCTTTTTATTAGCTTTCTAATCCTCACCATCTAAATTCAAGGTTTGCCTTATTTTTCCATAGACTAACTTCCAGGCAACTTGCTACACAATATATAATCTCAGTAACAGTTGACAATATGCACAGAAATAAATTCAGATATGTACAAAGCACACTCACCTTGCAACCGTACCACAATAGGGATTCTTACGTCCAAATCCTTTACTGCCATCACGATGCCTTGTGCTATCACATCACATCGCATAATGCCACCAAAAATATTTACCAGAATAGCCAATACCTACAGAATCAACGACAATATTCACATTAAAAATGGCCAGAGGCACATCAGATGAAAGCACCACTCAGCCTTTCAGCCTAAGGAAAATTCGAGCTCGTTAAGTGCATTAAGGGATTCTGCAAAAAATACAGAATATTTCTGTTTTACAGAACATCAGCAACAAAAGTACAGTTTTCTAAAGTCACATACAGTAGAAAAGTTACTTCAGGAAACTAAATTTGTCAACTACTTATCTTTCCATCTCTAACAGTACTCCAGCAGAGATACCTCCCACACCTATACCTCCACATACTGAAGAAGCCATGCTAAAGAACACAGAAAATTAAGAAAACTCATACATAAGACACTGTTTATTATACAGTTTACTTAAAAGTCAGCATGCTTAGAGTTAAGCTATCTGAAATACATTTTATTCAGGAGGACTAAATCAGAAGTAAAGGAAAAGTCTTTTTCTTATTCAAGAGATAGAAAGGAAGGGTAAAAAGATCATGGTTAATGTTGAAAGATGAAAGAAGGCAAAAGGCAAAATGGGCAGACATCCTTGGAGGACAGAATAAATTTAAGACAACAAAACGTTCCTGTGCAAATAAACTTGATGCTCACTATCTTGCAATTGGACCAGCTCATCTGTGTGACATCGTTCTTGCTCCTGCTACTAATGGACAGAAGCAATTTCGGTGGGCAACCCAGAAGACTGTTCCAAACAATCCCTGAACTGAACCCTGAGTGCCAGCCAGAGTGCAGTCCAGGACACCAGTGGGCTGCACTGCTGTTTGACTTTCACACCAGGAATCCCAGCTACAGTCATCGCTTTTTGATAAAGTAGTAAGCAGCTGCAGAAAGGAAAAGTTGTATTAAGGAGTCTGTGTGGACACACTCTGTCCATGCATCAGCAGAGAACTGGCATTGCAAAAACTTATCCCAAACCAGCAAACCCCAGATTCTTCCTTGTTTCTTTTCTCTCTGTAATTCAGGTGCTCTGTGCCTGTGTCCCTCACTGTTCCCTCACTTTTCTGGAAGAATGTGAAGAACAAACAGGTCCTCTGAAGAGTGGCTGCAGGAGGAGCTGGGGGTGTTTAGCCTGGAGAAGAGGAGGCTCAGGGAGACTCTACAACTACCTGAAAGTAGGTTTGTATCCAGGTGGTGGTTGGTCTCTCCACCCAAGTAACAAACAATAAGACAAGAGGAAATGGCTTCAAGTTGCACCAGGGGAGTTTTAGATTGGATATTGGGAAAAATTTCTTCCCCAAAAGTGTCATCAAGATTCAGCACAGGCTGCCAGGCAAGTGGCTGAGTTCCCAACCCTGAAAGTATTTAAAAGACTTGTAAACGTGGCGCTTAGAGACATGGTTGAGTGCAGAACTGAGCAGTGTTAGATTTATGGTTGGACCTTTCCATCTAAATGATTCAATGATTCTATAACACTCCTGTAGTGTGTGTCAGACCCTGCACTTGAGAATAAAAGTCTTTCCAATGAGGAAGAGACTAGGCTGCTCTGTAACATCACTCACTATTTGCTTCTGTGAACAAGTGATGAACATAAGATGAGCAAGTGGTAGACAAAATTCTGATGCAGAAGTAGGACACCATTACCAGGTCCTGCAAGTCACTCCCATCTTTTTCAGTTACCCCTTTCTTAATGTTTTTCTTTCTTTTTAAAAGGTCCAAAGATGCCAAGTTCCCACTGGGATAATCACCTCTATATAGACCATCAATCCAGTCCTTGCACTGTTTTTCTGGAATGGCAAAGCTCTTCCTCTAGTTTCAATCAATTTATTATTTTAATGATATTCAAACACTTCAGATAAACTTTCAATAGGCTAAAACATGAATGCCCTTCCAAGCCCATTATGAAGCTATTTTATCTTACATTACATACCATCAGTACCTTAGAAACTTGCACAGTGAACATTCATCTCTCCAACTCTATGTACAAAACAGACCCGGCTGCAAAATGGGAAAAAAAAAAAAAAAAAAAAAAAAAAAAAAGAGAGAAGAAAAACGTGGAAATCCATCTGAATACTGCTTTCTATTTAAACAGCAGGTGAAGGAGTTTCCTGCTACAAGATATCTGGATTCAAATACAGCTGTAACGTCAACCAGAAGACACAAAACTGCCTACTCAGTACACAGCCAAAGAACCTATTTTTTTTAAAAGTGAAAAAACTTTGACAGGTTTTCAGGCCTTCTTCATCTGCACCACAATCAAGCTAACATCTCCATTTTCTTCTCTTTTTAATTCTATGCTTATAAAAACAAGTTTTCTGGAGAACATGCACTAAGCATTGCCTTCCAAATAACAGCCTGACTTACCACTGTGTAAGACCTTGACATGCCAACTCTTCCCTCACCTTTTTATCAGATGTAATAAGCTTAAAGGCTTCTGTCACTTGTTGCGCTGTAGCACCACCACCAACATCAAGGAAGTTTGCTGGAGTTCCGCCGTGAAGTTTAATTATATCCATTGTGGCCATAGCTAAACCAGCACCATTGACTGTATGAGAATAAAGACAACATTTAGGAACTCAGTTTACAAATCCATTAGGTCATTTAAAATCCATTAAATAGGACATACCTAAGCAGCCTATGTTTCCATCCAATCCTATATAGTTGAGATCTGCTTTTGCAGCGTCCCTGTCTCTTTGGTCTTCCTGTGTCCAATCCTGCATATCAAAGATCTTCTTCTGGCGATAGGCTGAATTACTGTCAAAGTTTATCTTTGCATCCATACACATCACTTAAAGGGAAAAAAACCAACACAAAACCCCATAATTAAATATCAGAATACAGGCCCAACTGCTACATAAATGTGTTAAAGTATGTTAAGTCAAACTTGGCAGCTAGGTCATGCAGTTCAAACACAGTTTTGCTGAAAAAGCACACTTGGCACTTTAACAAAACAAAACAAACAAAAAAAAAAACAAAACAAAACTAAACTAAAAAACAAGATTCTCTCCAGTTTACCACACAATCAGTTAAATACTTTTAAATACACAAAAATGGAAGCTAACTGTATTTCTTGAGATACTCTAAAACCAAAGAAGCTTACAAAAAGCTGTTCAATAAATCTGGGCAAATTATGCTTCAGTAATTAGCACACCATTAGTCACTACAGAGGTTTCTTGTTTGGGGTTATTAATCCCTCCTAAGTTTTCTGCTTTCAGATTTAATAGATATAGCGTGTGCATGCAGGTAAGCACAAGAAAGCGCAATGAAAAAAATGTTTGAGTTGGAAGAAAAGGTGTCTGGAAAAAACACACAAGAGTAGGTTTTATTTAGACACAGCAGGTGACACGGCAAACCTAAGTGTCCTTTACATCAGAAGAGTTTCTGTCTGTAAAAATGTATCACTTCATTTCTAACCTTCACTACAAATGATATAACAATGACAAGATATGAGAAAGAGATAGGAGAGACTGCTCCCTACTGTTCATTTCAGCAGTACTATTTAAAAGAACCAAACCAAAACACCACCACAAAAAAAAACCCCACTAACATTAGAGTAATTCTAAACTTTGATGAGAGAGCTACATTCATATTTAAATTTAAAACTGTTATACATGAGTTCAGGTACAAATATTCTCCACAGGTTTATTTTTTGGTAAGAGGGGAATTGGTTGTGATTGAATATTAAATAACTTCTGCAATTGGATATGCTAAAAACCTGATAAACATCCAGATATTACACAAACTCTTATAGTCTTTCAATTCATCAGACATCAAACTCAATCAGTCATTCTGACAACTGAGTAGTAAAGCCAGGAGATTCTAGAAGGTGCTACTACTCTGATTACCTTTACAGCACCAGTTTTGGATATATGAGATGGCTCAAGTTTCAACTCCAGAATTTGGAAAATACCTAATTTCCAGGAAT